AGGCAGCTTGTCCTGTTAGTGTCTGAGCTCTAAATAGAACACAGCGGCTGGGCTGGGGGAATGAAAATAAACAGCCCCTCTGAGCAGCCCTTCCTAGTGGTCACCGGAGTTTCCTTCTGGTCCCTTAGCCCAGGGCCATTTCCCTCTTCTCCTCTCAGCTCCCCTCCTAGTGGCAGCCTGAACCTCAGGAGGGCTGGGCTCAGGGGCCAGGCTGTGTGACATCCCAGAACCTGCCTCCCCTCTCTGGGCTCTGGTGAAGTAAGCAGCCAGTCACCCTCCTCCACGGACTGGAAAGACCTGGGCCAGCTCAGAAGTGGCTGCAACTTTTTCCACAGCAGAAAAGAGTTCTTATCCCAATGACTCCCGTGTGGGATAAACTTAGAAACACTCTCTTTCTTTAAAAACATGACCCCAAATTTAAGGGTCAATCTACGGTTAGGTTCAAGTTACAGTGCTTTGCCTGGGCCTTGGAGGGGATATCTCAGACTCCCCCAGCTGGGGGTTGGGGTTCCCCTCCCAGTCTCAGAGGGGCGATCCACAGTCGCTCACAGGAGGGAATTCCTTGGGGTGCAGCACAGGCTGGGTCCTGGGGTCCTGGGCACATGCGGGGCCGAAAGGCACAGCGCATCGTGGGCTCAATGTGTGCAGTCTCTGTTCAGCTTCTGGCTCTGTTCTCGGCCCGGTGCTCTGTCTTAGCCCCGGGGCCCTAACCTTCCCCACCAGTGGGGCCTTAGAGGTGGGGGTTCCCAAAGGAGCAGGCAAAGTCAGGGAGGCACTTGGATTCCTCCAGGGCCCTCAGTTCAGATGCGCTTGGGCGGGGGTCCAGGAGCCCACCCAGGGGTGCCGCAGCTGGCCCCACCTCTGGGAGGGGAAGCAAGAGTCTGGGTGCTCCCCGTCCCGGCCTCCTAAGTCTCCAGCCCCTTCCCTCGTCCCTTCTTTCTCTTCCCTCTCTCCCCCTCCCCCTCCTCTGCTCACAAAAGCTCTCTGTACATAGCCACTTCCTCTGGCTGCTGTCTCTGCGCCCAGACCTTATGAGAACCATATGGGGGAAAGAGGGTGGAAGGGAAGGGGGTGGGGGACGTCGGCCCGCCCCTCCGGCCCGGCCCTCTCTTTCCACTGCCCTCAGGCTGGGCGCCTGGCGCTCAGAGTGCAGCGCCCCAAGCTTCCTTGACTGGATCCCCTAGGCTGCAGAGCCCCAAGCTCCCCTAGCTGGATCCCTGAGGCTGCAGCAACTGAGTCCCAGCCAAGAGCTGGAGGTCTGAAGGGAGGTCTCTGCTTCAGACCTCCATCCCTGAGGGGGAAGCTTTCCCCAGAGGCTGGGAAGGGGCTTCCCACCCTCTCCCCACCTCCCCGCATGACCCCCAAACTCCACCAAGGCACCCAGACAGTGCTGGTCACATGTGACCACAGCCCCTTCTGCCCACCTGGGAGACCGAGTAGATTCCGGGTTTGCCCGTTCTGGGAAAATACAGAGCGACCTGTCTGTCCCTTGTCTGCCCCTTCTCACCCAGCATGGAATGTTCCCAGGTCAAAAGGGCTCTGGTCCTGCTGGGAAAAGACTTAAAAAAAAAAAAAAGTGTGTGTGTGTGCGCGTGTGTTCATTTGTCTGTGTGCGTGCATGCATATGCATGTGTGTCCAGTGGGTGTCAAGTCCAGTCAGGTAAACCACAGGCCCTCACCTGACAGGAACACTAAGGGATCCACCCAGATAAGGCTGCTGTGTGACTATGGCAAGGCGCCATCCCTCTCTGACCACAACTTGCTCAGCTATAAGATGGGGGAGCTGGACTTGCTTGCTTATCTCTGAGACCCTTTCCAGACCCTGCAAGGAATGGCTGATGTCCTCTGAGGGGTTGCTCAGATGTACCGGGAGGTCCTCTCAGCTCTGCTTCTGGGCTTATTTATGAAGTGTGGTCGTGGAATCCCTTATTCTCAGGCCCCTTACCCCTTGCTTGAACTTGCAGAGCCAAGAAACTGGGCAGGCCCTCAGCTGCTGCCCAGAGTAGGGGCTCACAGCGGGCCCCATCCACACCAACTACTTTCAGTTTCTGGTCACCAGCCGCCCACCCTGGGACCTTTCCCCTCCTCTGGGGGCCCCTGCCCACAGCTGCCCGTGGGCTGGGCCAAGACTGGGGGTGGGGTAGGGGCACGGATCAGGAAGGAAGCTGAGAGCTCTGCTTCCCTGCAAAACTGAGAACGAAAGTCCACAAGAGGAAAAAAGAAAAAAAGCAAAGGTTGGGACGAGGGGGCATGGAGTCTACAAAAACAGAAGGCAGAAGTTGAGATAACGCAGTGGAGGAAGGGTGTCTGCTGAGGTAAACAGGAGGCTGCTGAGCTGTGCAGATGCTCCTGGCCCTGGGGCTGCGGACGGAGGCTGCAGGCTGGGGTTTTAGGTGGTGCTTTGAGCTCCACCACTCAGCGTCTGCCAGGCTTCCCCAGGTGGCATCCTGAGTCCTCAAGGGACTCAAGGGACTCGTGTGACTGGAACCTGGAGGTGTATTCTGGAGGGAAATAGAGGAAATGTTGGGGACAGAGGGTGCAACCACACCTAAAAAGCAATTAGCTGCCAGGCGTGGTGGTGCACGCCTGTAAGCCCAGCACTCAGGAGGATGAGGCAGGAGGATCGTTGCAAGTTAGTGACCAGCCTGGGCTACAAAACGAGCTCAAGACCAGCCTGAACAGCATAGTGAGACCCTGTCTCAAAAAAAAAAAAAAAAAGCAATTGGCTCCAGTACTGGTGGTTTGTACCAGGTGACAAGGTCAAAGGTGAAAAGTTGTGTGGCGTTGGTGTGGGTGACAGTAAGCTTCCCCGCTTCTAGCCTTTAACCTACTCCTTGCTGCCTGGCCCCTTTCCTCCTCTTCCCTCAAGACTACCTTAGGGTAGCAGGGCGTGGGGGTGCACGCCTGTAATCCCAGCACTTGGGAGGCTGAGGCAGGAGGATCGTTGCAAGTTCAAGGCCAGCCTGGGCTACAAAGTGAGCTCAAGGCCAGCCTAAACTGCATACTGAGACCCTGTCTCAAAAAGAACAACAAAAAAAGACTATCTAAGGGTACAGTGGATGTGTGGGACTGAGGCCTAAGAACACAGACTCCTTGCTGAGCTTCTGCAGAAAGACAGCCCTGGGTTCCTTTCCCTTGGGAACCAGCTGGGAGGCACATAGGGATCAAAATTATGTGAAGCTAAGAAACATGTCGGGCCGGGTATTTGGTCCCACTGCAAGCTGAAGGGTTCCGTGGCTTCTCTGTCCTGTCCTGTGCATTGTCCTGTCCTGTCCTGTCCAACTTCCCTGTCCTGGAAGGCATCTACCTTTGGAAGGTTTTTTTAAGCCAGCTAGGTCAGTGGTCTGCAAGGAGGGGGGCGCTTCCTCTAGGGAGGGGATGGGACGAAGGTGGGGTGGGGTCACATCTGCTTCTACCCTGTTACAATATATTCTCACCCAGAGTGGTCGGCCCCACTCTCCCCTGGGAGTGGCGTCGATGGGAATTAGCCATGGCTGGAAAGTATTAGTTGCCAAATCATTCTAAGATGTACGGCAAAACCACCCCTCTATTTTCCCCCTTCCCTCTGCCTTGGCTATGTTAGGGTCTCCTAAGCAATCCTGCCTACACTCACAGAGACTGTGTCCCACATCTGTGAACCTATGCGGGGACAGGAGCCCTGCTCTTCCACACAGCCAGCACTTCCCCTCCAGGAGTGGGCAGGGGAAGGCCCAGGCCTGCGGGACCTTACCCAATGGACTCTCAGAGACCACTCAGCCACAGCCGGGCTGCAGGGAGCTGGATGAGGACTGGCACCCCACCTCCACCTCCAGGCGCGCGGGCACACACACACCACACACACACACACACACACACACACACACACACACACACACAGAGCCAGGCCAGCGTCACAGGCTGACCAGTTGCGTCCTGTCAGGAAGCAGGCACCCTCTGAACTCACCCAACCAGAGGCCTTACTGTATTGTTCTGGACACAATCGAATAGAGGAGCCAGCCCCAACTCTGGGCAAGGGGCGGTGGAGAAAAGGTTGCCACTGGCGTCAAGAGGACAGGGAACGGGAAGCGGCTGGCTTCTCAGCTAGACCAGGACAGGAAAGCAAGGGGCCACGGCTAGGGCCCCGACCCTCAACTCCGCGGGGTGCGTGGAGTCCTGAGGACGTGGCCAGCGCAGGAAAGCGCCGTGGCAGGGAAGGGTCGCGAAGACTCCTTCAGTTGCCGGGACTGAGACCCTGTGGAGGAAGCGGTGGGGGCGGCGAGGGGGGCAAAGCGAGGCGGGATCGAGACCCTGGCCGCTGTGGGAATCGCGGAAGGAGGCTGCTGGGACGCACGCCTCTGCTCAGACGGATTGATTTACTCGCAATCTTGGAGTAGTCGAGAAACAGCCAAAGCTGTTTTTGCTGGGAAGGGGAAGCCTGACCCGGCGCAAGTTCACCGCACAAACGCGCACAGTGGGACAGGGCCCAAGAGCAACCCGGACGCTGGGGTCTCGTTCAGGCTAGAAGCGCCCGCCTTCCAAGTGCAGGCTTTTCCGAGCTCAGCGTCGCAGCTGCCGGGCACACACAGGGGAAGCGGGTGGGAAGGCTCAAGTGGCGGACGGGTTGCCCCATCGAGCGAGGAGTCGTGCCTGCCGACTAAATGCGGGGGACACCTCAGCGCGGATCTGAACGAGTCCGCGGCGGCGAGAACCCCGGCGTCGATCCTTCCAGAGCCTTCCCCGCTCCCACCCCGCTTAGGTCCCCACTACCTGCACGCGGGGGCTGGGCTGGAGACCCGGGCGCGCAGCCGCCTCACCTGCGCAGGTGAGGTGCCACGCGCTGGGGCGCACCTACCCGCACCCCCTCCCTCCCTCCAGGCTCCCGAACCCCAGTCTTTGCTCTCTTCTCCAAGCCTCTGCTCTCGGGCCTGCCCTCGGTCGCTGGACTAACAGGGTTGCCCTTGCCCTCTGCCCACACCCCGCACCCGCGTGCCCCGGTCCTCGCCGGCCGGCAGGGTACTCACAGCGTGACGGTGCCGTTCGGGAGGAGGCCGGGCTCCGGAGGCTCCGGGAGGTCCCCGCTGCCGCACACCACCCTCCTGCGCGCCGGGTTGGGGGCGCCGCCGCCGCCGCCGAGCCCCTTGGGCCGCTCCCCCGAGCACTTGCAGCTGCGGATGGGCACGGGGCAGCCGGGCG